TTGAACGAGTCCAGGTTGCTTTCTGACGGCCGGCGAGGACTTCCTAAAGAGATCGGAGACTTCAGGCCGCCGTGAGACTCCGACAACGCTCTGAGGGTTACAACATTTACACTTTAGAGGATCAGAAACACAACAAGATCTCCAACAGGTGCAGACGCCGGGAAGAGGGTTCCACCTGGCGTCGTTTCATTGACTTTAATCTTAGAAATATATAGTTTTTCTCTTGATGAGTTTCATCAAAGATAATATTTGTGGATCCATTATTTTATTTCTTTACACATGAAATAAGTTGGAATATGGTTTCCTTAGATACACAATTGCAAGAAATTACTCACAAATGTACAAAAAAACCAAGACATTCACAGAAAAAGAAATCCCACAAATATTTTAAACAAAATATTTATTTATTATTATTTTGACAGAAAAACTTTAATATATTTTTGGGAGATTTTTAGTAACAATTTAATGAGAAAATCTCACAAATGTAACCTGAATATCATCTGAGAATATTGTGTTTTTTTGTGGTTTTCACGTACATTTGTGAGTTTAATCTCAGATCAAATTCAGGTCATTAAATTTAATTTGTGAGATTTTCTCATACATTTGTTACAAAAATCTCATATTCCAAATATCCACATTCTATTTGTGGGATTTATTTTTCTCTAAATGTCTTTTACTGTTTTTTCAAGTTCTTTCGTGACTTTAAAATATATGATACATATAAAATATTAACGTTTTTTTTTGTACATTTGGGCCGCCCTGCCCTGGAGCATCATGGGAAGTGTAGTTTTCTGGCCTCACCCCTTCAGCAGCAAACTGAAGACCTTGGTGTATTGTGTCCTTGTAAATATATGAGTTTAATCTCAGATGATATTCAGGTTATTGTATTTCAATTTGTGAGATTTCTCATTAAATTGTTACTAAAAATCTCCCAAAAATATATTAAAGTTTTTCTGTCAAAATAATAATAAATAAATATTTTGTTTAAAATATTTGTGGGATTTCTTTTTCTGTGAATGACTTGGTTTCATCAAGTTCATTTGTGTTGAGTCATTTCTTGCAAATGTGTATCTAAGGAAACCATATTCCAACTTATTTCATGTGTAAAGAAATAAAATAATGGATCCTACATATTTAAACCTTACAAAATCGACTACATAAACAGAACATTCTGTAGCAGACAAGTCGTTTTCCTTGTAAATATATGAGTTTAATTTTTCTGTCAAATAATAATAAATAAATATATTATTTTCAAATATTTGTGGGATTTCTTTTTTTGTTAATGTCTTTGTTTTTTCAAGTTAATTTGTGACTTTAAAATACATATTATACATATAAAATATAAAAGTTTTCTTGTACATTTGGGCCGCCCTGCCCTAGAGCATCATGGGAAGTGTAGTTTTCCATCCTCACCCCTTCAGCAGCAGACTGAAGACCTCGTCCTCGTCTCTGGTTACTTTTTGTTTCTGTCGGTCTCCCAGCATCCGAACACTGGCCCAGTTCACCACTCCTTCCTCTTCCTGTCCATCTTCCTCCTCCTCCTCATCCTCCTCTTCCTCCACCTTCCTCCCAACGTCTCTCCGGGGTTTAGGGGAAACGTTGGGGGGGCTGAAGGAGTTTCCCAAATGACTCCCAAAGTCTGAGTCCGCCTCCTCTGCTGCCTCCGCCTCGGCCTCTGCCCGCATCACCTGCAATCACAACTACAGGGTAAACCGGGACATGTTGAAACCAGGGTTTCCGTTAGCCGGTAATTACCGTTTTTTAGCTGGTAAAATGTATTAAAAAAACGGTAAATTCAAAACCTGCCAGAGACACGCATCTCTACCGGATCACAGCTCCGTCCGCTGTGATGGACCGGTGAGCAAAACACACACTTCAAGTTAGACCTAACACACTTTGCTATTTTATCTACCTCTGGAACTAGCTACACTGGTTATACATATATTTATTATTCACTGGTCACTCATTACTGGATCAGTGAGCTGCATGAGATACTGACAGGCTCTCAGGAGAGGGAGAGGGAGAGGGAGAGGGAGGGAGAGAGGGAGAGGGAGAGGGAGAGAGAGAGGGGGAGAGAGAGGGAGAGAGGGAGAGAGAGAGGGAGGGAGTGAGTTTTAAACATCAGCATCTCGCTCAGAGTCCGGTGAGTCCCTGCTGAAACTCTGCTGCACACTTCTTAACAATCTGTCCAGTACAATAAATTATTTCCGGACATTTGACCGGCAAGAAAAGATCCTAGCGGAAACCCAGCTTGAGATCCCAACGTGTTTTAGGAAAACTCACTCCACAGAGTATGTTAAAAATAAATGGGGAAAGAGAAGTTAACCTTGAGATCTCAGAAGAGCTGCTGTGACCTCCAATGGAAATGCACCAACTCTCATGCATGGAGAACACGCGTCTGGAAGTGCTGCAGACTGTGGGAGCAGCGAAGCACTGGCTCATGCTCTGGTGCCCCCAGTGATAAAGCATTTTTGGTACTGGAACAAATACTCAATATGAAAATACCATTTCAGTTCTGCACTTTTATCTTGGGTCGACTTTCATTTGGTTTATTCCCATTTCGCCCCCTGCCCCATGCAGCCCCAACAACAGCCTCTGATTCGTCAACAGACTTCATGCAATGCTTCATGGGATGCATCATTAGACCTATAAACCCTAACCCTAACCCTATAAACCCTAACCCTAACCCTATAAACCCTAACCCTATAAACCCTAACCCTATAAACCCTAACCCTAACCCTATAAACCCAACCCTATAAACCCTAACCCGAGAAACCCGAAAACCCGAACCCTAAAAACCCGAACCCTAGAAACCCGAACCCTATAAACCCGAACCCTAAAACAACCCAGAAACCCTAACCCTAAACCCTAACCCTAACCCTATAAACCCTAACCCTAAAAACCCTAACCCTATAAACCCTAACCCTATAAACCTAACCCTATAAACCCTAACCCTAAAACCCTAACCCTATAAACCCTAACCCTATAAACCCTAACCCTATAAACCCTAACCCTAACCCTATAAACCCTAACCCGATAAACCCTATAAACCCTAACCCTATAAACCCTAACCCTATAAACCCTAACCCTATAAACCCTAACCCGATAAACCCTAACCCTATAAACCCTAACCCTATAAACCATAACCCTATAAACCCTAACCCTATAAACCCTAACCCTATAAACCCTAACCCTATAAACCCTAACCCTATAAACCCTAACCCTATAAACCCTAACCCTATAAACCCTAACCCTATAAACCCTATAAACCCTAACCCTATAAACCCTAACCCTATAAACCCTAACCCGATAAACCCTAACCCTATAAACCCTAACCCTAAGACCCACGACCCTAACCCTAAGACCAAGCAAAACAAGTATCATTTCTTATGTGGCGTAAAAAGGGGCGAAATGGAGAAGGGGCGAAACGGGAAGACACCCTTTCATTTAGGGCGCTTTAATCAATATGTATTCAGAGTTCTGATAACGGCTTGTAAGAAAAGCATCAGGAGAACCTGGCTGCTTCCTGAGTCCCACACAATAGAAGAATGGAGAGATATAGTTAATAACATATACATAACGGAAACAATGACTTTCTCTCTTCGCCTACAGATGATTAGATTTACTGAGCTATTGGGTTTCCTTTATTCTCCAAGCTAGAATTAACAAGCTACTGCTGAGCTGATAACCAGTTCTATCAGCAAGAGAAAAAGGGTGCTTGGTCTGATTACCAACATATAGTCATTTCTTGTTTGTTTGACTGTTATTACCCCTGCAGGTTTCTCTCTCTCTCCGTCACTCTTTACCAAACATCCCTTCTGTTGTTGGATAAAGCTCATGAACATTGTATAAGATGCACATCAGGCACGGAGAGGACAATGAGAAGGGAGGGTTTCAGTGTGTACTGTTCCCTTATTGTTTACTACTCCCTGAAACTGCATGTCTATTTCATTGTAACTGGAGAAATGTTCTAAACTGTCTTCTAAATAAAGAAATGCACGGTAGGGGTCTCCAGCACATTGAAACTGCCGGATGCTACCCTGCATCATTTCCCTGGGTGCAATAACCCAGACTGATGGTAGGATGAAAACCCTAAAGTATGCTTAGTGAGGAACCAGGTGAAGTTGAATCTGAATGGAAACACAGATCCTCCAGACGCCAGAAGGAGGGATGTATCTGTCCCAGTTTATCGGAAATGTGTGACTTTAATCTTAGAAAACACAGTTTTTCTCTTGTAAATATTTGAGTTTAATCTCAGAGAATATTTAGTTTCTTTTCATGTTTTTCACATACATTTGTGAGTTTAATCTCAGATAGTATACAGGTTATTGGATTTAATTTGTTTTTTATATATCCGAGACCTATAATATGCCTAAAAATAGAGACCTTTAACCCAGACTGATGGTAGAATAAAAACCCTAAAGTATGCTAAGTGAGGAACCAGGTGAAGTTGAATCTGATTGGCCGACGCACCTCGTCCAGGTCCGTTTCACGGTAGCAACGCAGCGGCACGGCGTCCAGATCCGTCTCCGAGTATTTGATGGTCTGCCGGATGATGCCGGTTTTGGGGGCGGAGCCTCTGGGGTCGGAGGTCACCAGCTCCACCTCGATCTGACACACCTGGTGATGAGTCACCTTCGGGGCCTCGAAGTCCCGCCCTCTCCTCTGATTGGTTGTTTTATGGCGGAGGGAGGAGCGAGGGGCGGGGCTTGGAGCGACGCTGGGCGGGGGGGTCGAGGGCGGAGCTTCTGCAGGAGAAAGAAACGGGTTAAATATCAGAGAATATTTGAGAATTTTGAGTTTTTTCTCATAAATAAATGTATAACTTAAATCCCTGAAAAATATTTTAACACATTTTTTCCACACATTTTTTTCGGAAATCTCAGAAGATATTCATGTATTTTTTACTTTATTTTGTACATTTTATTCTCGTAAATGTAATCGCTGATGGTTTGCACATTTACATAAAAATATGTATGAGCTTAATCTCCTTCTATATTTTATTGCTTGAATATCAGAACATTTCAAGATATTCTCGATTCAGTTTATTCTAAACACATTTGGAAATAAAATCTCAGAAAATATTTAAAAAAATTCGATTAAATTTGTGAATTTTTATTTCAGAAAATATTTAACTTTTTTTCTGGTGAACTCTTGAGTATTTTCTTGTTGATTTCAATTTTAGTTTTCTTTGAAAAAGTGAGTTCTTATGCATGATGATGCAGTTTTGCACATTATGGTTATCTGTAAAACAATAACAGATATTGTGGAGTCAAAGCCTGAATAAGATGCTGAACAACAGGAAGTGAGTAGTGGTAGTAGTAACACTCGGAGTGCAGTTAATTACTGTAAAGCTCTGCCTGATGCTAAGCTCCAGCTAATTGGATCAGAACAGACTGGAAGCTGCTCGTTTACTTCACTCAGTTTAAGAAACAAAACAAATGGACAACATGTGGCTTTAACCCTTAGATGCAGAAGTGGGTCTTTTTTGACCCGGTGAGGTCGTTTTCTTAGAGTATCTTTGTAATTACATTTTTTTGTCATTTCATATTCCAGTTATTCCTCAAAAAACATGTTTTGGATATCATGCCATTCACATTTTTAATTTAAATTGTATACATTTGAAGAAATTGTAGTTTTTGTATTACTACCCCAAGCTTCCATAAGTGGGTCAAAAATGACCCGCATGCATTTCCTATGGAATATCAAAATGTCTAAAATTATAAATAGCGAAAAATTAAATATAAAATATTTCTAGTGTGAACCAAAATATAATACTAAATATTATACAAGTGGTTTCTCTTAACCAAAATGACAAAAATGGCATAAAAACACATATTATGAGAGTAGGGTCCAGTCACTCGGGCATCGAAGGGTTAAAACATTTTACTACAAAAACACCCTTTGTATTAAATTAAAACTGATCGAACAGCTTTATTATATGTAAAAATAACAAACAATATTTCTAATGATAACAGAAGAATATGCAAATAATAAAACACACAAATCATATATTTATTAAAATAGAAGCAGGTGCAAAAACACAATGCATATATATATATATATATATATATATATATATATATATATATATATATATATATATATATATATATATATATATATATATATATATATATATATATATATATATATATATATATATATATATATATATATATATATATATATATATATATATATATGACAGAGTATTTCACAATATTGATAATAATAACAAAGACACCGCTATCTGATCGGGGGTGGATCGGTCTGGCAACCCAGAACATGTTATTATGGTTTATAACTGATATCTAGAACATACGTGAATTACTTAAGCATTAATGGAATCTTAAAGATATATACACTTATAGGAAAGGGGTATCTTTGGTTTTATTATTATATACGTTGACTATAAATGTGTTGACAATAGCCGCGTTCACACCAAGTACTTTGCCGTACTTAGTGCCGGCGGTTATGACCCCAGAGCACTAAGTACAGATCACGTTCTCACCGGAGTACTTTTCCCTGAGGGAAGATTACGCAAATGAGCCGCTGACGTCACTTCTTCTGCTTTGGGTTTACTGGCAGGCCACAAACAACTTCACGGCGTATACTGCCACCCGGAGTCCCCGGCAGGAAGTCCCCGGAGTTGGGGAAGGCTTCAGTGGAAGCTGCTGGGACTCCCAGCAGCTTCCACTGAAGCCTTCAGAGGAAATCGCCAGAGCGCCGACACCTCCTCATCTCCACCGCTCCCATGTTTTCTTTTGTGTTGCCATAAGTTAGTCTCTCTGCGTTCGTGCGCTGGGCTAATGCTAATGCTAATGCTAATAATGCTAATAATGCTAATGCCAGGATAATAAAATGGCGGCTCTACAAAACATTTCAGAGTTGTACGGGGCGTGGTTTGCAATCCGCCCAGCCAATCAGAACTGGGGCACTTTTCCCCAGGAGAGTACCATCTCTCAGCAGGTTAACAGCTCTATTGTTTTTTCGGTGAAGCTCCCTCTCCTCTAGTGTTTTCTTGAGGTGTTAGTGCATGTAAATGGTCTGCAGAGGCAAACATCTCTTCCCTTAAAACTCAGAGAATATGTTGAAAAAAATATTCATGAACATCTTTTAGGTAAATCTCAGAATCTAGTTTTTAATGAAATGTTTTGTTTCACCTTCCTTTGTAACTTAAATCTGAGAGAAAATAAATACAAATGTTCGTACAGTTTTCACTAAAATCTCAGAAGATATTCAAATTGGTTATTATTGCACCGTCTCCTATTTTAAAAACGGCTCTATTCTTTTTTTCTGTGGTGCCCCCTCTCCTGTAGTGTCTAGTCATAATAATAATAATAATAATACATAGGAGTTTTATAGCGCTTTTCCTAATGCTCAAAGACGCTTACAGTGCATGTAAATGGTCTGCAAAGGCTCAAATCCCTGTGATCCGTTCAGAAGGGGTTTCTCTCCCAACACTTTGCTACCAAATGTAAACTTTGACAATGATATAAGTGAATAGAGATTAAAACGGTACCTTGTCTGCAGCGACTCTCCTCCGGCGGTCCTCCAAACAGGAAGTCCCACTTTGCTTGGGCGATCCTCTGCGACCGTGAAGATGGAGTCGCCGTCGAGCTGCCGTCAGACTGCAGGAGGAGAGAGGGCAGTAATATTAAATAATGCATCTGTTACTCAAATGATCTAGAACTGGACACAAAAGCGATTAATGCACATTTGTTTTAGTGTTTGACCTCTGAGTCTAACCCCGGAGATTTGAGTAGAAGTAGTTGGATGCACAATCCCCTCCTCTTTAAAGGGGAATTAAAATGTCATGTAACTTTAAAGTCTCCCCGATCTACGGGACAGAGGAAATGCAAGGTGACGTTCAAGAAGACTTCAAAACAGCATCAAGTCACTTTAAAGTCATATTGTTGTGTCAAACCAGTGAATCAGTGATACCGTGATACCGTTTAGAAACAATCAGAAAATAATTCAGATTTTTAATGACTTATTTTACATAAAACACAGAAACTGTTGTGTTGAGCATCTACCAATAAACCCTGTTCATCTCAGACTCAGAAGGGCCTGCAAAGCCTCATGGGAGATGTAGTTAACTGCTAACTCAGGGATTCATTTCCAAAAGGGTTGCCCAGCTTTTGTGGAAACTAAACCTGAGAAAAATAAGACAAAAATAAGCAGCTCTCAAATGACTTTACAAATATCAGCTCCTGTGAGATTTGCAGATATTTAAATTAGATAATTGCAATCAAAGGCAAAAAAAGGCGTCAAATGCACTCAGCTGTCACTTAGACAACATCTCATTTGGTGGATTAGCAACAACAAGCGACGCCCTCATGGAGCCATCAGCTGGAAACATGTGATAAGGAAACAAAACGAAATCACTGGTGTGGAAGAACTTCTGATTTCTGTTTCATATTTATTGTTATAAAGACAAATGTCTAAAAGATACAACCAAGATTTAAGTTAGACCGAAGCCCTCCTTAGAGTTCAATCCCAGGTCAAATGTACGTTAAAGGGTCTCGAGCATGTTTTCTCTTCAGTGTTTGTGATGTTATGATAAATGTATGTTTTCCTCGTGTCTTAACATTTGTCCTTTTTTGATGTTGTAAATGGAGCTGCTGTGATGCAAGAAACATGTATTATCGTATGGTAAACCCTCCCCCCTGCCCCCCTCCCCTCCTGCAGTGGTCAAACTATATAACCCTGGCCCCTGGTAGAGCAATATGTGCAATATGTATATATGTGTTAATAACTGTGTAATATATACCTGGCTGCTAAATCTTCAGAACTGTTACAGGATGTGTATTTTGTAAATTGTGTAATTAGTTTTATCTTCTGTATGCATGCTTCTTAGTTAACATTAAGCTGTCTTTTCTGCTGTAACAACGTCCCCTCTGTGGGACTAATAAAGGTCTTCTGATTCTGATTCTACTTCTGACCCAGCCGACCTGAATCCCTGAGCCGGTGTCGGCCGTGTCGTGGCTGCACTGGCTGGAGGTTTCGGGGGAAGGACTTTCGTTTCGGTCCAACTGGGAGTCTCCCATACTGCCCGTTACCCCACTGGAGCTTTGAGAGGACGTCCCAGCACCCCCGCTGTGATCCAGACCCTCCTCCCTTTCACTCTTGGACAAACTTCTAACTTGCGTCTGGTAGTCCAATGACGTCTTTATCCCTTCCGCCTTGCTATGGTACATCTCTTTGTTGCTTAGAGAATAAGCTGGAGCGGTTGTTGTTCTGAAGTCACAGAGTTCAGAAGAGTTCCCAGGGGGGGACCAGCTAACTGTTTCAGGGTTTGGACTGCAGGAAAATCTCCTGGAGAGTTCAGGGCTGTCCATAAGTGATCCAGCAAAGAGGTCATCGTACAAAGCGGGTTTGTGGTCTCCAGTGTACAGTGGTGGCTGGTAGTGGTGCAGTACTGGGCTGTTTTTAGTGGGAGAGGAACCACGATAATGCCGGGGGTCCAAAACTGGTGATTGTGAGGCGGCAGCATGGTTCAATTTGGCCGACGAGGCTGGAGATGATGGTGAAGACGAGCTTTTCTGGGATAAGAGAGGTGAGACGCGTCTTGGTTGTGTGTGAGGTGTGGCTTTGTCTGTTTTCCATCTTTGGTTCTGGTTCTCGGACTGTAGAGACTCCAGGGAGCCTTGCCCATGGCGAGCGATAAAAGGTTGGGATTCCCTCAGGAAAGACCCTCCCATCTTGGGACTTTCAAATGTTCGGGACTCAGCTTGAGAAGATGCTGGAGAGGGAGGCCGCCTTTCAGCTAAAAGGGTGGATCGTTTGGTCGCCTCCACAGCTAACTTAGAAGCCACATTAGCATTTAAGCATTTGGAGAGGTTCCTCCTGCCATAAGTCGGGCTGCAGCAGCGTGACGATCTGCCGTGAGATAAGTTATCGTTGTAATTGTAGAGTAAACCGTCTGTGGCGTTATGACTGGAGTCTGTAAGGTTACTATAGCTACTTCTAAAACTGTTTTTGGGGTTCACACCAGCTTGATAGCCAGTCCTGGGGGGGAACATGCTCGTTGGGATCTCATGCTGGATGTCCGTGGGTCTCCCTGCAGGTAACGGTGGGTGAAATTTGCTGGACAACCTGGGGCTTTCGTCCCCCCGCGAGCGAAGAGTCGAGGTTGAACCCATTGAATGGTATCCCGATTGGGCGTACAGTTGTTCGTGAGCAGGGGTTCTGGGTAGTCCGTTCACCAAACTCTGGCTCACTCCCCTGTCCAATAACTGGGTTTTCGATGGCAGGGAGTGGGCACTGCGGGGCAAGACAGGTGACCCCCCCAAGGACCGGCAGCGAGATGACTGGAAGTGCCGAGGCAGCGTCGGGCTGCAATGATCTGGGACGGGACCGGCAAATCTGCGCCCGAGTTCTGGGGATCCAAACTCCTCCAAGGCCCTGAAGGTGGCGTCTCTGGCGAATGGGTCTTGGCTGGCCTTCTGCAGGTAGGATCTCTGTGGAGTCCGAAATGGGTGATGGTGACTCGGGTAAGGGTCACCTTGATCTGGTCTCCCGTTGTAACAAAGCGGATCACTCAACCGGTTCCTGAGCTGCCCTTCCATTCTGTTTGGAGGATTTCCCAACTCACTTTGGCATGTTTTTTGGTGTGCGTGAACGTTAGCTTTCTCTACGTAGCCAAAGGTCACCACAGAAGTCTTGCCCTCTTCAACCCTCATTCCTGGGCCCTCGTAGGACCTCCGGGTGCTGGTTGGGGTGTTTGGTGCTGTGATGGTCCCAGAAGAAGTAGAAGACGGAGAGATTAGCATCCTTCCCGGTCGGTAGGGATCCATGTGAGGGGATTGAGTGTGTCCTGATGAACTGTGATGGCATGGACTGGGTGTTCCCGGCGCAAGGACCTGGAGTAACTGACTAAAACTGTCATGCAACAAGTCCTGACGGTGGAAGCGGGTAGGAGACCCTGTAGCGTCTGGGTTTTGGAGTTGGAAGCTGACTGAATGCCTCGGGGGAGACCTTGAGGTGGGTAAGCTGTGACTGCTGAACCCAGTTTGGTGCTGGGAGACTGGGGGAAGAGCCTGTCTGTGGTTTGGGCTGGAGCTTCTCTGGCAGTGAGGCAGGACGTCCGGGCACTGAAGCATCGAGTGAGGAGTCCCATCCCCTCTTTCTTCCTCCTCAGAAACAGACCTCACCTCAACGTACAAGTGAAGGACTTTACCTGCCTGAGACAT